GTGTCCTCCAGCTTTCTGTCAGCTGATTGGTCACCTCCATCATGCTCCGCCCCCTGCTCCTCCTGTTTGCTGTGCTAGCAGTGCCAGGTAAGAAGAGTTTGTAAAGTGTTTCCAATCAGACTTGATGACAGGTGCTGATGGTAGAAAGAAGCTTTAAGTGCTGCTGATCTGTCAGACGTGAAGACATTTTGCTGCCATCTTTGTTTCTGAGCAGAGCTGCTAACTGATGCTGTCAGACGGAACAACAGGAGCTGTTTTATTCCTTCATCAAGTCAAAGTCATGTTCAAAMTCTGTCTCTGCAGGTGATGCTGCAATTACTTTTAACTCTTCCAGAGGATTTGACATCAGCGCCTGTCCCATCACCTTGTATGGAAAGACGTACAACCAAATCTATGTGAGTCGATGAATCTCTGTTTCCATCTGTTATCATTTTACCTTTGAGTCTCTTGTATTGGTAGAGATGATGTGAAAAGACTGAAAATGTTCTCTGTAAATTCATGGGACATCCTTTGTGTAAAGAATAAAAATGCACTCAGATAATTTATTCCAAATGTTGGCTTTTGTTGAAAGTGTAAACCTTCAACATGTCAGTGACTGTAAACCGCTGCCTTTCATTGAAATAATACCAGGAAGCAGAGACACTGCATCTTATTGAAACTGATGTCCTGATTGAGTCATTTGGATCAYTGAAGTTGTTTTTCTTTAACTTTAATTGAAATTTGTAATATTTGTTGTGTTTTTGTCTCTTTCAGGCAAATGTAACAGCTGACCGCTTTGTGATTTGTTTCGGTGATTCTTGGGTTGATGGTCCCACGATCGACTTTATAAGGGGACCTGCACCGGACCCAATAATATCTGAAGACATTGTTACTCAGTCAGTTGTTCTTGACATCCTGATTCAGAACACTCTAAATATTCCACCCCACTTGAACTGCTATGTGAACTTTGCTCTGGGCAACAATGTAAGTGTTCTTGTGTTTTAGTGATTTATCATTAAAAAATAATTAAAATGTTGACGGATGATAAAAACCTCAAGCCAGTGATTTTCTTTGGCTTATTTCTGCAACAATTTTGAAATCATTCTTATATTCACKTTTTATAAATGGTAATTCAGACATATTACAGCACAATATTAACACTTTTACTCAAAATTTGCTACATGCTGACAGATTGTTCACTCTTTGCAGGTTGCCATTTATCTGGTGAACTACACAACGCAAGCAGTCGTGGGTTTAAACTCCAATATTGGAGGAACAACTGTAAGTATGTGGGGGTGGGTCATTTATGTGTAATTATATTCAAACTGATAAATCATGTTTTATGTAAAATTTATTCTAAACTCATTTGAAGTCAGTGCTCTCTGGTTGTAACAGTTTGTTGTTTTGTAGCTGACCAGTATTACTGCAAATGGGATCATCCAAGACACACTGAGCGTTACAAACACTGTGACYAATGGACAATATTATGACTTTGTCAGCATCAACGGCTGCAGAWACRGAGGTTGGTGACTGTTTAAATTAAACATTGTCTGATTAAGTGAAGCTAATGTTGTAATGTTTCTGTTTACAGAAGATAAATTATTGAGAAATCTGAGTTTGTAAACTAACAGGACTTTATTCACTTCTCAGATGTTGTGTATAAAACTGGTACAACTCAAGTTCTCCCTGACACGTGTGAGACTGTCACYTGTAGTTCCACAGCAGAACTTGTTGTGGTTCCCAACTGTATAGGCGCAGAGACTTGTCTCGGCAACAACAGGTAAATATGTCTCCTTTATATTTAAAACAGCTGTGATCAAACAGGGACTAGATGAGGACTGTTAGATTTTAGTTGTTTCAGAGCAGCTGCCGTCTGTTTTACAGAAAACTTTTATTGTGAAAGGGAGTGTTGGGTCKGTGAGTAAACAGTGAGGCTGACATTAGTCAGATAAATTTACTGCTGACTCTGATCAGWGGGGCTTCCTCTACAGTCACCATCAGGTCAGAGAGCTGAACAGTAGAGTGCCCCCTGCTGGCTGCAGGCCTCAGCAGCAGCTAAACGTGTTTCTGTCTCCATCAGGTGTGTCATCACCACCACCAGTCCTCCACCCACCACCACCATAACTTCACCCCAACCTCCTGTCCACGCCATCTGCACAGTGACAGGACCCTCTGTCATYGACTTCTACAACCACTTGGACTTTGTAGAGGACCGRTGTGAGTACTATCTGCTGAAGATCGATGGTCTCACTGTGGTGGGTAACTTCCGTGAGCGTCGTCTTAGCAGTGTGAACTTCCTGGACAGCRTGAGGCTGACAACGAACAACAACAACATCGACCTGAAACAGGACAAYGAAGTTGTGGTGAGTCAGAGTGGAGTTTGATCCAGAATCTTTGAAGAAGCAGCTCTCTGAATGCTGCTGGACTCAGTGCTTGTTGCTGTTTGTGTGTTTGACATGTTTCACTCAGAGTTTCCTCCACTTTGTCTCTCTRTCATGMAGRTAAATGGCGCAACAATGGACCTCAGCTCACCTCAGGTGGTTGGTGATGTGACGGTCTCTAAGGACTCACCTGGAGTCATTGCTGTGGTTCTGATCAAGGACTTCAAGATTACTGTCTCCTTTGACGGCTACACCGCACACATCCTTGTTGAWGGTACAGAAMATYCAATAAGTTWGTYTGATGGTGAAGATAAACTGTGCTGTGTTYATCCAGTTTGAACATTGATGCTGATGAGACTCTCATTCTGTCCTGAACYGGTCCAGGATCTACTGGATCATCTCTGGAGGGTCTGTGCACAGACTCCAGCAGTGAAGCAAGACTCCCTGGCTGCAGCTCCACCAAGTAAGACTTTCACACTGATTGCTGCTTTTTCTGCTGGGTGAATGGACTCCAGAGAGACTCCATAGTTTTCATTTACAAGAGGTTTGTGCATATAAAAAAGTGCAAACTTTAAAGTGCGTAAAGTTGATCTACTAACTGTGTGCATCGAAGATTGCATCTGTCAAATGAGTAAAATAKCCYAATCCATTTAGTGTGGTTACATTCGTGAATATGCAGAAGACATTATGATAATCAGAACTTGTAAAAATACTTTGAGGAAGATGTGCGTATATAATCATTTAGCACCAGCAAAAGTGATTTATCAAAGCTTAAACTGATTGCGGTTGCCGTTTTGCGTCATATTTAGCACATGTTAACAGCAGTGTACACACTCCACCTCAGACACATATTCATCCCCATCAAGTTGTTTCATGTGAGGGTAATTTTATRGACTTTCGAAGGCTCCTTTAAGAGTTTTGACATGTCTGTGATTTGGAGCCAATCTCAAGGTATACCATGTCACTATGTAACATTGCARTTTCTTTCATCTGGATCATTTGCCTCCAACGTAGAGACTGAATGTCTCCGTGTCAGCGAGAAGCACACTGAAAATCCTCMTTTCAATAGGGTGGTCTGCACCACCTTTGCCCCTGTTATCATTCACAGCAGTCTTTGTAGATCACCTGCACCACGCCTGCTAAAAGCACATCCCACTTTTTAGTTTGCACAGCAAATTAGCAYWTGTTATTTAGGATCTTAGTAAATCAGGCCCCATGTGTTTGGATGAACAAGCAGAGCAGCAGAAAAACCTGACCATTTTTGTGTGTCGCCCCCTAGCTGTGTTCCACATGATGGCATGGACGAGGAGACGGTCTGCCCCAATAACACATTAAGGTGAGCAGATTCATCCACAAACATGTCTGTGTTTCACTACTTTAGTTCTAGTTGAGACATTTTGAATTTGTGTAAAATATCTTATTTATTTTTCATTCTTACTGTTTTGTGTAATGTACAACAGTACTTGAATTATTCTCTATTGCTTTATATTATTGAGTGATTTTCTAAGTTACACTTTGKACAKCACTTTGGTCAGTAAAGGYTGTTTTTCTAAATGTGATGTAAAAGTCAACTTTGACCTGACTTGATTTATTATCTCCCATGTGGAGCAGCTGTGACTACCTGAARRAGGCACCCTTCCCCTCCTGTGCCATYGACCGACAGCCCTACTTGGTCGCCTGCAMAAACCTTTTGTCCAGATATCCTGCAGTGGACGGCCTCAAGTGTCAGTTCCTGACGGCCTACGCCAAAGCCTGCAGCCTGTACAACAACACTGCACTGTCTGGCTGGAGGTTCAAGACTAAGTGCCGTAAGACCTGCTTCACTCCATCTGCTCTAAAGAAATCACTTGTTGGTGCCTGACAGACATGTTTACATGATCACTCTGTCTGCTGGGGGGGATATGAGAGAAAACTATAGTCCTGTGAGTACTGACTCAGTCAGTTCAAAGTTCTGTCTATAGAGACCCATTAGAAAACTGGAAACTCGTCAAACAGAGAAAAATCCATACTTTGTATTTGTGCAGTTGTTTTAGTTCTGGATCAGGCACCATCAGAGTTTTCTGCTTGTATTTTACAGTGCTCATGTTTTCAGATCAATATATCAGTGTCTCTCTCTGCAGACCACCACGGGGCCTTCTGTAACAAGACCTGCAAAGATCACGAATTCTGTGCAGAGGCGTTATCTGGAGAAAACCAGTGCTTCTGTCGGGCCAACTTTGCCTGTGAAATCAGAAACAGTTATACTTATGGTACGACAGTGGAGACAACAACATGACATCAGGCCTGAACTGTTGGAAGGAAACTTCTAAGTGTGATTTTTCTCCCCAACATTGTGATCTTCAGGTCATCCACCGGTCTGCATAAAGAACCATGCTTCTCTGACTCTGTACAACTGTCTGCTGGTGGAACAAAACATTGACTACACCCGCTTACACCTGATTGACCCAACCTGTACAGGTCAACTGAATGAGACGGACAACACAGTGACCTTCACCTTCGAAGCTGACAACTGTGGAACACAGATCARCGTGAGTGGTCYTCTTCAGATGTCCTCCAGCTCACTGCTGAGCTTCTCTTCTGTWTTTTGGGATTTTTTTAGTGGTTCTGTCCTCAAATCTGACAGCTGTGTTWGAAACACATTTAGTAACAACATATTCATATTTCACTTGGCAGGCCAACAATGAGAGCATCATCTACAAAAACACCGTCATGAGCCAGAACGTCACCAGCCAAATCATTCGCTCTGATGTGGTCATGATCGACTTTTCCTGCTACCAGGCCCAGCCGAACCTCCAGACTACGACCTTCACCATCATGGACAAGTGAGTGTGATTCCTGCTCACACTTTGGTTCTGGTCTTCCTGTCAGTGTTTATGTGAAAAGTAGAAATATGTTCAACATGAGAGGAAAGTTTGGAACCACATATACAAGGTGTGTAAATTACAGACAGTACATCTTATTTTTTTCATACACTGTCTGGCCCAAAAAGTTCATTAATTAATATTTGGTTGGACCGACTTTAGCTTTGATTACAGCATGCATTTGTTTACACAAGCTTCTGTAATGTAATTACACATATGTATTTATGATGGGAGACTTAGTTCATTGCTCAAACTCTTCAAGTACGTTCAGGTCTGTGGTAGCCAGTTCATATTTGAAAATTATGTCTCATTATCCCTGAACCACTTGTTCACAATTTGGAYCTGATGAATCCTAGCCTGGCATTGTCATCTTGGAACACGCCTGTGACATCAGGGAAGGGAAAATCCATCAATGGAATAACCTGGTCATTCGGTATATTCAGGTAGTCAGCTAACCTCCTTGTTTGGGTTCAGAATGCTGCTGAACCTAGACCTGACCAACGTTCCCCACAGGCTTGAACAGTAGGAATTAGGCCTGATGGGTCCAGTAGAACCCATGCAGGTATTGGTCAACGGGAGGCTCATACTATTTGCTTAGTAAAGTCCAGATTCTTAGTTAAGACTCTTTTTCGTGGCCAGGCAGTGTATTTTAGTTCCCTCATTTCCAAAATATCTAAAGACATTTTAGGTTCGATGACTTTGTGAGTAGCTGACCAGTAAGAAAATAAAGATGAATGTACCTTCTGGAAAAGACCCAACATACTCATCTGAAGCCAACAGTCAATGCACAGACATGTGGTTGTGCAGCCYAGGACTTCTGCCTGCTGCACTTTTCCAAGTTGTGTAATTGTATATTTCTATATGYTGTATATCTCTGAGAGAAATCTCTTTGTCTCCTCTGCAGTGCTTATAAAGGGATCATTGWAGCAGGACTTTGGAATTACACTCTGTTCATTAAGGCCTTCATTGACGATGGTTGCACCAAACTTGTGGATGCAAATACTCCAATGAAACTGAACCAGAAGGTCTGCGTGAAACTGATCACTGAGGGTCTGGATGAAGACAGAGTTGTACTGGTGACCGACCGCTGCTGGGCAACTGATGAACCATCACCCTCTGCAGCAAATTCCTACGACCTGATTGTTGATGGGTGAGACTACAACCAGAGATTTATTCATCAGTGTGTTTTCTGATCTTATCACTGAACAAAGGGTGTTTTCTGTTTGTGAGCAGCCACCCTAATGACCCAACAGTGACCATAAGAGACAACGGAAGAGAAACCCACAACTCTTTTTGCTTCAACATGTTTGAGTTCTCTAGGGGCTCAAATAAAATCTACCTGCACTGTGCAGTACACCTGTGTGTGAAGAGCACCAACACATGTGAACCGGTACGTCTCACTGTCAAACACACCACATGGAGGACTGACTGAGACCTAACAATCAGATTTTTTTATACAACAGTCTCTAAACACTTGAATAAATCAGCATTCGATTGATTCAKCTGAAAGATTCTGACACAACAGTTTAAATATCTCAGCAGCTTCRGTTCAGGAATAAAGGATCAGTATCTGTCCTCTAAAATATTGACTTTTTCTCTGTCTGTCCTCATTTTCTCCAGGAAAGACGAAGACGCAGATCTGCCAGGTCTGAACATGATTCTCCCGGCTTGATCAGCATGGGCTGGAGTAGTTAGGTAAGACTCAGCTCTGCTGCTTCAGCTTCTGTTTATTCTCATACGTGTGCGTTTTATTTTAGCTGTTATAAAGACAGAGARCAGTGATGCTAATGTTACAGAAACTTACTGTTGTGGTCGGGAGTTTTATTCATTCATCTTGAGCATCAGTGATCCTGTTGTTGGACTTTTATTAATTTATGTAAATCATTGTTTTCCCATGGCTGACAGTCAGGTGTTTGACAGGCAGGAGTGTTTTCCAGAAGAGACCACAGTTAAATTTATTTCCTGTTGTCTTCTCAGGTGGTTTCCACGTTAACTTGACTGACTGACAGGCTGCTGATCTTCATGATGACCCCTGACCTTTGACTGGTCCTGATCCAGAACCAGATTGTGTTTTTCTTTGTATTGAATCCTGGGGATGTTTAATCAGAGTGACAGTGATTCAGGGTGGTAATATATTCTTAGTTTTATTCTTGTAGCTGTGATTTATACAACCTGTTTGTCGTCGTAATTAGTAATGGAGTTTTATTTTAAGTTATTTTATGTTTAAATATAATATTGAACTTTACCTGATTCTCATTTTTTAGATTATATTTATCTGCACCTTTAATAATCAGCTCTTTCAAATCTTGAACAATGTTGAAATAAATTAAAATATTTATTTGATTCATGTATGTTACGTTAATTATTTTAAACAGCATAATAAAGAAGCAAAAAAAAAAAAAACCTCTTGGTCTGTTTTGTTGTTTTCTCCTCTCCTTGAAC